GCCAGTGCTAGGGGGAGCTCGCTTAAAAGCTGATCCTCTGAGCACTGTCTCCATGGGGCGTGGCAGGGGAGGCAAAGGGGTAGTGGGAACTGGGAGTGAACAGGGAATCAGCTGTTCTGGCTCACGCTGGGTTCCCAACACTGTGGGCTAGCCTTTTAAATGTATTAAGAGCCTCTTAATACATTTAAAGGGCTGGCACGCAGGAGGGCAGACCCTGCACAAGCTGGGACAGCTGATGGAAAATCTATCAACTCATCGATTAGTTGATTAAACTAACACCCCTACTATATTAGCAGATGGATTGTAAATAAGACACAAGAAGTATCTCTTCTGCTCTATTTTGCATGATTAGGTTTCAACTGGAGTATAGTGTCCAGTTCTGGGTGCCACATTTCAAGAAAAATGTAGACAAATTGGAGAAAGTCCAGAGAAGAGCAACAAAAATGATAAAGGGTCTAGAAAATATCACCAAGGAGGGAAGATTGAAAAAAATATTGGGTTTGTTTAGTTTGGAAAAGGAGGCATGATAACCATTTTCAAGTTCATAAAAAGTTTTTACGAGGAAGGAGGAAAAAATTGTTCTTCTTAACCTTTGAGGATAGGACAAGAAGCACTGGGTTTAAATTGCAACAAGGGAGGTTTAGGCTGGACATTAGGAAAAATGTTCTAACTCATAGGTGATTAACTGCTGGAATGAACTGCTGGGGAGGTTGTGGACTCTCTATCATTGCCCTTAACAATCGCCAAACAGTTGTCAGGGATGGTCTAATTAAGAGGTGGGCAAGAGGCTGGCAGCAGACTGGATTTGCCCCACCAAGCCACTGGATTCAGCCTGCAGCCGCCTCTCCAAAACCCTTAGGCAGAGATCAGTTCACTAAAAAGCCAGCTGTTCTCCTTTCCAGATGACTGAGGAGGGAGGAAGGAGACTTCTCATGCTGTTCCCAACCCCAGCAAAATTCTTGGCTCCCATTGGCCAATCTCTCAGTTTCAGCCAATAGGAGCTGAGAATTTTTGCTTCTCCCTTACTCCTCATCTCCCTTTCACCTTCACCCAAACTCCCTCCCAGACCCCGCAATTCCTCCATTAATATCCTGGAAGAGTGCAGCCCTTGACCACTTTCCAAAATCTTGGAGTGGTCCCCCATCAAAAATTATTGTCCACCCTAGTCTAGACGGTGTTTGATCCTTCCGTAAGTGCAGGGGCTTGTACTACATGACCTCTTGATATCCCTTCCAGTCCTACAATTCTGATCATGTCACCAGATATCAGGTCCATGTAAGGTAACTTGTTGTGGAAGCCAGAGTTTCACAATCTGTGTGTGTGCCATTGTTAATACAGACTGTCTGAAATGTGTGTCCGCTGAGGAATGATGCTCTATTGTGTAGTGTTTGGTAAATGTATGAATTGATGACTCTGTCATCACTGTACTAATGTCTGCGATGGGAATATTATGGAGAAAAGCCCATCATGCAGAGATGGGTCTGTTGGAGTGTGTGCAGGCTGTTTGGGAAGCAAGGATATTGTTGAGTTCCTAGCATAACTGTATGGACTTAGAGATCTATTTAGAAAGTCTTTGTTTAGATATCGCTTCCCCTTTGGATTGTTCAGTGAAAGAAAGACACAGCCATGGGGATTTCCTAAATGTCTTTGTTTTCTCTTGGTAAAAGGTGAAAATTGCCTGCTTGGTGTCTGTGTGAGGTTTTGGAAATAATACAGGTAAGTAAATGGATTGATTCAAATGAAAGAGTAAGACTGCCTTCGGGATGAATTTGGGGTGTGGTCTTAAGATGACTTTAACTTTCTGAAATACCATGTAGGGAAGGTTTGCCATGAGGTCAGCTAGTTCCCTTACTCTTCTGGCTATGATAATTGCAATGAGGAATAACACTTTCATTAAGAGCTGTAATAGGTGGTTAGAGGCTTGAATGGTTTGTCTGTCAGCATGCATAATGCCAGCAGGTGGAACCAAACCTGGGCTGTCAGGTGCATAATGCATGAGCCTCTACAGATTGAGCTATAAAGCCAGCTGGCTCTCAGCTAAGGCTGTAGAGCTCACTCATTCTCTCTCTCTCTCTCTCTCTCTGTCTCTGTGTAAGTGGTCTAAGTGCTACTACATGGGACATCCAGTAGGTGTGTGGGTTATACTTGTGCAATACCATAATAAGATCCTGCATGGGATGCGTTGCTTTAATGATGGAAAAGTGTTATTCAGTCCTTTCAGGAAGCACTTGATAGTTGGATGTGCAAACTGTGGTGTATTCTTCTATTTTATGGTGTGTTGTGGAGATAACCACTATATATATGGTTTTGGAACTATTAACAAGTTCTTGTTGTTCAGAATATAATCCACATCGCTAGGTAATAGGGCTGAGTGAGGTGAGTTGTTTGTAAGTATCATTCCATATCTTAACATGTAGATTTCTGTGAAGTTTAATCTCATTTCTGAATTTCTTTGGCTTATTAATGCTTGCTATTGGGATAATTACAGAGGTGAAAGTAAGCAGGTTCAACCTAGTGAACAGCTTGAGTAAGAACTGGCAGAGCTGCGGAAAAAGCCAGCAAGGAGCTATTTAAAGAGCTGGCAGGAACCCAGGTTGCAATAGGACAGTACCTATAAGAAATTTTAAGTTACTTTCGCTGCTGGATAATTGTAACATCTTTACAATGTATTTTGTTCTAAAATAATAATAAATACACTCAATCTTATCATAATATTTATTTAGGAATTTTTAATTAACAATTTCATGCATGAACAATAAACAAGAAGCTCAAAAAGATGTTATCATAGGCAATTTCTAGAGATTTGAAAATATAAAGAATCAGTTAAATATTTCTTTAAAATTTCTTTTATGGATATATTTACCAGTACATACTGGCAGTTTTCATGCCACCCTGGGGCAGCACAAAACAGTCATTGCATTTCAGCCAATCAAATTGGGTTTTCTGCTACCTTGCATTATCAGATTACTTGTGCATCATAAGATTACTTGTTTTCAACCATGTAGTTTGTCCCATGTCTTTTATTCTTATCAAATACAATCCTTTGTTTGTGAATGTGTCCATTTAAGGAAACTGTGATTGGAAATTAGTTATTGGGATACTAATCCTTAGTGACTAGGTTGGGATTTTCAGTTAAGCACGGTAGGCACAGGGGCACCGGTGATCTGTGGGCACGTAAAAATTAAGTTTTCAGCTGGTCTGCATTTTGTTATATGATCCATGTTGTTGTATTTGACTTTGCACACCACTATTTTGCTTTCTAGGCTCATTTAGACAAAAATGATTGTAGGTAATTTCTTTTTCTGAAATGAGTTTTGTGCTCCTAGATGCACTAGATTGAAAGTTCTAGAAGCTGTAGACTTTAAATTAAACAGAAAAATTAAGCACTATCATATTACAAACCTCTCCACATTGCCACACCAAACTCTCTTTTGGATGAGAGGATAGTCCTGTACCTATTTTGTCTCTACCACTTCCCTGCTGGTGGGCCTGCAGATAATACAATTAAACAGTTTTGTAGTGCAGTACATGAGGTTTTTTTTATTTATCCTTTGAAATTTCAGGTTAAGTTTTAGATACTGCCCTTTTCAAGAAAAAAACATGAAGCAGAATGTCAGAAGAACTCTCTGTACTTTAAGGGTAGCGGAATTTAGATGTACTACTTAACAGAGATTTTGAGTCTTGGTTTGCTGCTCTGTGAACATCTATGCTTTTAGCATATGCTGTTTGCATTTTTGTCTGTACAATCTGCTTGCTCAGGCTATCCAATCCAAAACATGATTCCCGTTATCAAATCACTAGCAGGTTTACCTGATGTTGCTTGGGTCCATAATTTGGAAATTACATTGAGGCTATGTTTACATTGCACATTCTTGTGCAAGAAGATATGCAAATGATGCATGGTGATGAATATTGCTGCGTCTCATTTGCATACCGAATGAGCCACCATTTTGCGCAAGGCGGAACGGCTCTTGCACAAGAGGGGTTTTTTGCACAAGAAGGAGCATTGTAGACTGCTCCTTCTTGCACAAAAGCCCCTTGCACAAAATGGCAGCTCATTAGGTATGCAAATGAGGCATGGCGATATTCATCACCGTGCCTTATTTGCATATCGTCTTGCGCAAGAATGTGCAATGTAGATGTAGTCTAAGTGTATTTTGTTTGTTCTTCCCTATACTCTTATCATTCACCGTGTTTTAACTAATGTTTTCCAATAACATTTTCTTCTAGTTTTTAGACCTTAAGCATTGATTTAGCTGTGCCAAAATAGAGTACTATTCCAAATTTCTCTGTTTTCTCCCTTTTCTGTAAGGTTTATTGAGAAGCAATTCTGTTCCAGGTTCACCCTATTTTTCTGTCTCATCTTGGTTCAATATCTTTCAACATTTGCTCAATTAAGTCAATTTTGAGGACTGTACTTGCTTTGGTGATTCTGTCCCTTTTCTCTTTGGTTTTATAAGAATCAATCCCATTCCAGGCACATCACATTTTCTGGCACAACCAAACCCTTACCGTGCTTTGAATTATGATAAGAGGAAGCTATATACCAAATTTGGTCATCTTAGCTCTTACCATTTAGGAGGCATTCTTGATCAAACATACAGACAAACTTTTTAAAATAGAGATTGAACTTCTCTGGTCCAGCAACAAACATGGTGCAGCATTCTAGCTAGATATTTAGTTAGCTAGATGATTTTAGTTAGCTAGATATCCTCTTTTCAGGGGGGTGGCCAAACTTCCCACAGTCTCATAAAGTTTTTTTATAGCCACCAGTCCTAGCTTTCAATGTTCTGTGCTGTTCAGGTCTAATTTACCCCTAAATGTCTTCTAAGAGTCGAGTAAGCAATGGAAGTGTTGGTAATGCTACTAAACAATATTGACCTCCCATGGTTTGGCAAATTCTCTGCTTCAGCAGTGGTCAGGTCCTGAAGGTGCCAGACTAGAGAGGTTGAACCTGTATATATTATATTAGGGCTGTCAGTTCATTGCAGTTAATTCAAGTGATTAACTCAAAACAAATTAACTTGATTAAAATTAATTGCAATTAATGGTACTTTCAATTGTACTGTTAAATAACAGAATATCAATTTAAATTTATTAGAGAGATTTTTGGATGCTTTTCTACATTTTCAAGTATATTGATTTCAGTTACAACATAGTACAAAGTGTGCTGTGCTCACTTTATATTACAGATATTTCCACTGTAAGAAGGTAAACAAAAGAAATTGTATTTCTCCATTAACCTAATTCAAGTACCGTAGTGCAATCTCTTTATCATGAAAGTGCAGTTTACAAATGCAGAATTATTTGGTATGTAAATGCACGTAAAACCAAAACAATATTAAAATTTAGAGTCTACAAGTCCACTCAGTCCTACTTTTTGTTCAGCTAATCACTAAGATAAGCACATTGGTTTACATTTATGGGAGATAATGTTTCCCACTCCTTATAGACAGTGTCAGCTGAAAGGGAGAACAGGCATTTGCATGACAATGTTGTGGCTGGCATTGCAAAATATTTTCATCCCAGATATGCTGAACATTTTTCATGTTTTGACTACGGCTTCAGAAGACTCGCTTTCATGTTGATGACAATGTTCTGCTCTATATCTAGCCAACTAATGATGTTGGATATACATTCATTTTCATCATCTGAGTCAGATGTCACCAACAGAAGATTGTTCTTCTTTATGGTGGCTTGGGTTCATAGTTTTCAAGCATGATCCATATCTCATCCTTCTCAGATTTTGGAAGGAGCTTCAGATTCTTTAACTTATGGTCAAGTGCTATTGCTATTTTTAGAAAAATCATACTGTGTTACCCACCAGCTCTGTGATTCTTGGGGAACCAGAACATGGTCACCTGTCAGCCTTGTGCTCTTGGGGAGCCAGGGAGTGACATTCATGGAAACCATCCCTCTCCCTCAGGCATCTGCTAGAATCAAAGACAAAGCAATGAAAAGGCCGGGGAAGACACACCTAAACTGCTTCAGACAAGGGTGATACAATTAAGGAAACACCCCAGCCTCATTTGCATTAAAGATGGAACAGAGGGACATCTCATTAGCATACAGAATGGAGAGCAGCTCTTCCAAGGCAGGAACCGCAGTGAACTATGGGTCACCAAAAGCAGAGAAGCACTGCCTGATGGGAAATCCCTGCTCCAGATGCTAATGAACCTAGGCCTGCTCACACCCAAATTAGTCATTATCAGACCAATTCTAGTAACGATCCTATTGACATCTAAAATACTGAAACTGCCTAGTTGCATTGTGAGCTCGTTCAAGGAACATCACCCATAACCAGGGGTGATCAGTCTCTATTGTCTCTCCTCTTTCTCTTTGAACTGTCCCTATAAAAACGCCTATCTTTGCCCCAAGAAAAACTGTTCTGATACCTGGACTTAAACTGCATCAGTTCCATTGAGACTTCTTCATCTCTTGTCTGATTGTGCTGGGGGCTATGTTCTACTTTTCTCCTGCCCTCTGGACCCCCGGCTACCATCATCATCTGGGAACCCCGATCACTGCAAGCTCCGTGGAGTGGTGAGGTGTCTCTCTTTCTTTTTCTCTCTCTCCCCCTCTCTCCCATCAACTATCTCTCTAAGCATAGCCTCCTGACCCTGCCCTATGTAAACTGTTATATGGTTACATTTGTAATCAGTTTCAATTTAGATTTAATATTGTAATTGTTAGATTTAATATTGTAACTTTTTGATATCTATTCACTACTCAGAAATAAATAACTTTCATTCTTGGCAGAGATGGAGTTCACCTTTCCAGGAGCGGGAAGGCCTTGTTTGGACACAGACTGGCTAACCTTGTGAGGAGGGCTTTAAACTAGGTTCGACGGGGACAGGTGAGCAAAGACCACAGGTAAGTGCTGAATGTGCGGGACTGGGAGATGGGTTGGAAATGGGGGGGACTACGGCCTATAATGGCAAGGAGAAAGGAGAGTCAGGGCACACCAGGGAGGCAAGATCAAATCAGTATCTTAGATGCCTATATACAAATGCGAGAAGTATGGGTAATAAGCAGGAAGAACTGGAATTCCTAACAAATAAATACAACTATGATATCATTGGTATTACAGAAACCTGGTGGGATGGGACGCATGATTGGAATGTTGGTATGGAAGGGTACGACTTGCTCAGGAAGGACAGACAGGGAAAAGAGGGAGGAGGGGTTGCCTTGTTTATTAAAAATGTACACACTTGGACTGAAGTGGAGATGAACGTAGGAGATAGCTGTGTAGAGAGTCTCTGGGTTAAGCTAAAAGGGGTAAAAAATGAGGGTGATGTCATGCTAGGAGTCTACTACAGGCCACCTAGCCAGGTGGAAGAGGTGGATGAGGCCTTTTTTAAACAATTAACAAAACTATCCAAAGCCCAAGATTTGGTGGTGATGGGGGACTTCAACTATCCAGACATATGTTGGGAAACTAACACAGCGAGGCACAGGCTATCCAATAAGTTTCTGGACTGCATTGGAGACAACTTTCTGTTTCAGAAGGTTGAAAAAGCTACCAGAGGAGAAGCTGTTCTGGATTTGATTTTAACAAATAGGGAGGAACTAGTTGAGAACTTGAAAGTGGAAGACAGTATAGGGGACAGTGATCACGAAATAATAGAGTTCATGATCTTAAGGAAAGGTAGAAGGGAGACCAGCACAATTGAGGTAATGGATTTCAGGAAGGCAGATTTTGATAAGCTCAGAGAACTTGTAGGTAAGGTCCCATGGGAAGCAAGACTGAAGGGAAAAACAACTGAGGAGAGTTGGAAGTATTTCAAAGGGACGTTGTTAAGGGCCCAAAAGCAAACAATTCCGCTGTGTAGGAAAGATAGAAAATATGGCAAAAGACCAGCTTGGCTTAACAAGGAGATCTTGCACGATCTCAAAATAAAAAAGGAGTCATATAAAAAATGGAAACTAGGACAACTAACAAAGGATGAATATAGGCAAGCAACACGGGAATGCAGGGGCAAGATTAGAAAGGCAAAGGCACAAAATGAGATCAAACTAGCTACAGGCATAAAGGGAAACAAGAAGACCTTTTATAAATACATTAAAAGCAAGAGGAAGACCAAGGACAGGGTAGGCCCACTGCTTAGCGAGGAGGGAGAAGCAGTAACAGGGAACTTGGAAATGGCGGAGATGCTCAATGACTTCTTTGTTTCGGTCTTCACCGAGAAGTCTGGAGGTGTGCCTAACGTAGTGAATACAAGCAGAGAGAGGGTAAGTTTAGAAGATAGGATACACAAAGAACAAGTTAAAAATCACTTAGGAAAGTTAGATGTCAGCAAGTCACCAGGTCCTGATGAAATGCATCCCAGGATACTCAAGGAGCTGATAGAGGAGGTATCTGAGCCTTTAGCTATGATCTTTGAAAAATCATGGCAGACAGGGGAGATTCCAGAAGACTGGAAAAGGGCAAATATTGTGCCCATCTATAAAAAGGGGAATAAGAACAACCCAGGAAACTACAGACCGGTCAGTTTAACGTCTGTCCCAGGGAAGATAATGGAGCAGGTAATTAAGGAAATCATATGCAAACACTTGGAAGGTAATAAAGTGATAGGGAATAGCCAGCATGGGTTTGTGAAGAACAAGTCATGCCAAACTAATCTGATAGCTTTCTTTGATAAGATAACGAGCCTTGTGGATAAGGGAGAAGCGGTGGATGTCATATACCTAGACTTTAGTAAGGCATTTGATACGGTCTCGCATGATATTCTTATTGATAAACTAGGCAAATATAACTTAGATAGGGCCACGATAAGGTGGGTGCATAATTGGCTGGATAACCGTAGTCAGAGAGTTGTTGTTAACGGTTCTAAATCCTGCTGGAAAGGGATAACAAGTGGAGTTCCGCAAGGGTCTGTTTTGGGACCCGTACTGTTCAATATCTTCATCAATGATGTAGATATTGGGATAGAGAGTACGCTTATTAAGTTTGCAGATGATACCAAACTGGGTGGGGTTGCAACTTCTTTGGAGGATAGGGACATAATTCAAAATGACCTTAGCAAGTTAGAGAAATGGTCAGAGGTAAACAGGATGAAGTTTAATAAAGAGAAATGCAAAGTGCTCCACTTAGGAAGGAACAATCAGTTCCATACATACAAGATGGGAAGCGACTGTCTAGGAAGGAGCATGGCAGAAAGGGATCTAGGGGTCATAGTGGACCACAAGTTGAATATGAGTCAACAGTGTGATGCTGTTGCAAAAAAAGCAAATATGATTCTAGGTTGTATCAACAGGTGTGTTGTAAGCAAAACTCGTGAAGTCATTCTGCCGCTCTACTCTGCACTAGTTAGGCCTCAGCTGGAGTACTGTGTCCAGTTCTGGGCGCCACATTTCAAGAAAGATGTGGAGAAATTGGAAAGGGTACAGAGAAGAGCGACAAGAATGATTAAAGGTCTAGACAACATGACCTATGAAGTCAGGCTTCATGAACTGGGCTTGTTTAGTTTGGAAAAAAGAAGATTAAGGGGGGACATGATAGCGGTTTTCAAATATCTAAAAGGGTGTCACAAGGAGGAAGGAGAAAATTTGTTCCTCTTGGTTTCTGAGGACAGGACAAGGAGTAATGGGCTTAAAGTGCAGCAAGGGAGGTTTAGATTGGACATTAGGAAAAAAATTCCTAACTGTCAGGGTGGTCAAATATTGGAATAAATTGCCAAGGGAGGTGGTGGAATCTCCCTCTCTGGAGATATTTAAGAACAGGTTATATAGACATCTGTCAGGGATGGTGTAGACAGAGCTTGGTCTTGCTTTGAGGGCGGGGGGCTGGACTTTATGACCTCTCGAAGTCCCTTCCAGTCCTATGATTCTATGATTCATTGTTAAGCTGGTTGCTTCTCTCTCTTTCTTTCTCTTTTGCTCACTCTTCCTTAAGGGGTGTTGTTTTTCAATTTAGATTTAATATTGTAATTGTTAGATTTAATATTGTAACCTTTTGATATCTATTCACTACTCAGAAATAAATCACTTTCATTGTTAGGCTGGTTGCTTCTCTCTCTTTCTTTCTCTTTTGCTCACTCTTCCTTAAGGGGTGTTGTTTTGGCTTCCCCATTCGCTCTGCAACAACGCTTGTTATACCCAAGCTAAAAATCCCTGTAGTGCCCAAAATCCTGTGGGGTTTGCTTATCGTGTGGTTTACCAGTGAATGACTGTGGTGTGAAAGTGGGGATAGGGGGTGCTGAACATGGGGGTTTATGAGGATGGCAGCTTAAAGGGCTGTTTAATCCAGCCCACGGAGTCCAAAGGCACATGAGGGTACAGTGTGGCATTGCTGTGAAATCCAGCCAGCTGAGTCCAGGGACATATGAGCGAGTCAGCTTGTGAGTGCTGAGTACCCAGTCCTCTCAGACGTGCTCTGATTAGTGGGTGTGAGTGTCTGTGTGTGTTGCCAAGGTGGTAAGAACCCCATCCTGAGGAACCTAGTTCCTGCAGGAGAGCTCCAGTGGGAGGGGGAATTGGCAGCAGGGAGAATTCAGCTCCATATGGGAGCACAAGCAAGCACAAACAGCACACTGATAGAATTGTTAACCTTCCCCCAGTCTCATAAGAGTAATCCTGATAAATGAGCATACCCCAGAGTATTGGGCAAATCTGGTAACAATTGATACCTTTTTTGAATTTTATTACATCTGCAATAAAAATGTTCTTACATTTGATTTTCCAAATTATTGCTTAAAATGGTATTTTGATAGGCCTAAAACATTCATTCCCGAGTATCATGTTACATGTGGCTGTAGTTACATGTTTACTGTTAAAGCATATTAAAATGTGAAAAAAAGAATTACATTAATGTGTAAAAAAAAGTTACCGTCAGCATTTCATCTAAAGCCTCTTGGGATTTTGAAATGGGAGTTTATTTTTTACTGGTATTTGCTGCTTCTCAAAGTATATAGTTGCAGTTAATTTACATATCCTTCCGTTAGGAGTAAAGTAGTTAGGACTTATGAATGAGTGAAACTGAAAAGAATTAGGATCTATATTTTGTAGTTAGGCATTGATGGTATAGATAAATTGGGACATAAATTCATTGTGCCTTTAAAGATGGAGGTGTGCCTTTATACTTATTTCAGAAGTTACCCTTCTTCTTCGAGTAGTGGCCCCATGGGTGCTCCACTGTAGGTGTTGGGCCCCGTCCCGGCACCGCAGCTCAGAGATTTTCACTAGCCGTAGTCAGCCGAATCGCACATATGCGAAGTGCATCTCACGCCGTTCATGCCCTTTTGCCTCATGCACAATCCGGCTCCCGCCAGTTCCTCTCAACTGCTTGCGGGTCACAGGCAGAACTCCCTTTGACTCCCATTAATCTATACAAGACAAAAGAAATTGTAAATATTTAGCTAATAGTATAGTCGTTGTCAGTAGTTAATAGTAGTTGTTAGTGTTAGTTCTGTTAAAGAAATCATTTTCCTTCTGGCTTACGCCATTAAAAAAAAAACGGGGGGAGACAAGGGAGACCAGAAAGCCAAGAAAACTGTCACCATGCCGGGATTGTCCGCTTGTCTCCTGGCACAAGTCACAATGCCAGCCTCCGATGGCCGCTCCTCATATATATGTTGCCTTGGCGAGAGGCATGTACAGAAGTGCACCCATTGTTCAAAGCTGACAGCCAGGACGAGGCACAATAGGAAAATGCGCCTGTGAATGCTTCTGTTTGATAAGGTACTCCAACACGAGGACGCCTTGTCCCCAGCAGCCTTGGAGCCTTCTTCCTCTTAGAACCGTAGGGTGTCTTCTTCTGGAGCAGCCCCACCTAAGAAAAAAGTGGTTTCACCGGCCCGTTCCTTGCCTCCGGGTCCCGTCAGCAGAGGAGTACAGGGGATAAGCCCAGCATGTCCGGCACTGCCTCCTTGCATTCAAGGCTGACAGTGGGTGCAAAACCCGAATTGGCATTGGCTTCAGCACTGGTGCAGGTGAGAACCAAGATAGCGCCAAAGGCCTCAGCTATCGAGGCACCGCTGGCACTGACAGTGTCGGCCAGAACAGGAGCACAATGGGCACCGAGTAGATCACTGGTGCCACAAGTAGATATGGCACCGGAAGTGCCGAGTGAGTCTATGGCACCAAGAAAGACTCCGGCAAAGTCAATTAGGCACAAGAGCCCCACACTGCTGTCGCCTTCCCCGACCTTTTCTCCAGCACCGTCCTCATCTCCTGCATGTTCACCACGCTTCATGGGGACACTATGTGTATTTATGTGTATTTCCGGTGTTATAGATCACCATCAACGTACCTGTCAGCATTGCATACTGAAGCACAGGACTGTGGCAGGCACATTTCCATCTCACCACCTCCCTCCTCCAGGGGCTCTGTGTGCTATATTCGTTTACCACTACAATCGCCACAGAGAGATTATGGAAGGCATTATTCATACATGCATTCCTCTAGGCGATCATCACCTTGCCACAACTATTACTTCCACAGGGAGCATGCCTCGCACCATCGGTCTAGAAGGTGTTCTCCTTGTCACTGTAGATCCCCCAGATACACTTCTGGGCCATCTTCAGACACAGTGTGCCCCTCAGTATCTGGGCCAGCACAGACTCCACCACCGTAACTGCAGCAATTGGAGTCTGAAGAGGTACAACTGTCGGAGAATGAGAACCAGCACCCCGACTCCTCCCCAAATGATCACTCATCATCCTCACCAGATGAGGCTGTTCTCCCAGGGGACGTGTCCCCTCCTGATGACATCCAGAAGTTTCAAGAGCTTTTCAAATGAGTCACTGTGAGCCAGGAGGTCCAATTGGCAGAGGTAAAAGATAAGCAACATCGCCTCCTGAAAAATTTCCAAAATAGACCTTTTCGGAGGAAGGTGTATTCTTCAGCCACTCTTTTGCAACGTATTGCCATCTATGCAACGTTACTGTCGAAACATGATTTCAACAATTATATGAATCGACCAGCTAGGATAGGCCTCCAAATTGCCCTAGACGTAGTGGACACAACCATCAGATCTATGGCTACTGAGATCACCATGAGAAGATCTTCATGGTTTCAGTCAGTGGGGGCCCCTAAAAAGCTGCAGACCAAAGTGGAGGACCTTCCCTTTAATAAGCAGAACTTTTCACTCAGGAGACTGATAAGGTCCTCCGCTCTAGTAAGTAGTCCTGGACCACCCTCAGAACGCTAGGGAAGTATACACCTCCCTACCACAGAAAGCGCTACCAGCCTTACCAAAGGTGCTATGATTTCCATAGGCCAGAACAGCAACATCAACGGCCTTTTGATCAAACTGGGCAGAGGCAACGGCCACAGAGAAGGCACACACAATCTAACTAAGCCCCCAGCCAGCCTATGAATAAGCAGCAGGTTTGACTCTTCTGTCCAGGGCTCCCAGTCGCAACCAGTGGTCACCCTACAACAACCTTCAGGCCTCTTCCATCACCGCCTGAGACGCTGTTTCCACCAATGGGCCACTATCACCTCAGACCGATGGGTTCTAGAAATCGTGGCATCAGGCTTCATGTTACCATTTCTGTCTCTACTTTCCTCCACCCCACCCACCCCGTCCCTCTTCAAGGACCCCTCTCACGAGACTCTGCTCAAGCAAGAGGCCCATCACCTCCTATCCATCGGAGCAATAGAGAGGGTACCAGACGAGTTCTGGGGGAAAGGGTTCTATTCTCGATATTTCCTCACTTGGAAGAAATTGGGGGGCTGGAGACCCATACTTGACCTTCAGAACCTAAATCGGCACTTAAGAAAGCAACGCTTCAAAATGGTAACCCTCACCTCCATAATCCCTTCCCTAGACCATAGAGGACCTCTAGGACGTGTACTTTCACATTATGATTCATTCAGTGCATAGACAATTTCTTCGATTCATAATAGCCAAAGAGCATTTTCAATACTGCATGCTGCCCTTCGGCCTGTCATCGGCACTCAGGGTGTTGTCGAAGACCCTGGCAGTTGTAGCAGCGCATTTACAACTACAGGGGGTCATAATTTTCTCCTACCTTGACTGCTTCATAAAAGCATGTTCCCATGCAGAAGTGCAACATGCGCTATCCATTGCCATACACACTTTCGCTTCACTGGGCCTACTTATCAACGAGCAGAAGTCCATATTGGTTCCAGCACAGAACGTAGAGTTTATAGGGGCGTGGCTCGATTCCACAGTAGCACACGCATACTTACCAATTCAGAGTTTCCAAGCTATCCAAGATCTTGTTTCCATATTAGTCACAAGTCCCATCATTGAAGTCTCACCTGTCTATAGTTAATGGGACATATGGCAGCTACAACTTACGTTGTCCACCATGCCAGACTCCATTTCCGGTGCCTGCAACACTGGCTGGCGTCGGTGTACACCTCAGAAAAACATCAAGTCAATAAGGCGGTGTCCCCTCCTACCAAGGTTTGCATGTCCCTCTGCTGATGGGCAGATCCAAACAATCTCTTGGCAGGAGTTCCCTTTCATTGGCCCCAAACTTTGGTACAGATCACAATGGACGCATCCCTTATTGGATGGGGAGCCCATATGAACGGAATGTCCATGCAAGGCAGATGGTCACGAATGGAGGCCTCCCTCCTCATAAACCTCCTAGAGCTCAGGCGGTCTGCAGACACTTCCAGAGCTATATTCAAGGAACAACTGTCAACATCCTCACCGACAACATTGCCACAATGTATTATGTAAATGGTCAAGGCGGAGCACTCTCTCAGTCCTTTTTGTGCAGAGGCAGTCCATCTCTGGAACTGGTGTATTCGCATCAAAATCATGTTAATAGCGTCATAATTACCTGGCACGAGCAATGTAGTCGCGTACTCCCTGAGCAGGTATTTTGCACCAGATCACGAGTGAGGTCAGACATTTTTCTCAGCATAGTCTGACGGGGTTTCTCTCAGACCTCTTTGCCACGAGCCAGAACGCGAAATGCTGTCAATACTATTCCAGAGCAGGCATCGGATGGGGATCTCTAGGGGATGCCTTCCTTCTCTACTGGGGCGACTCCCTTCTCTACACCTTTCCCCCCACAGTCCTCATACCCAGGATTCTGGACAAGATCAAGTTGGACAGTGCAACCTTGATCCTCATAGCCCCCGCCTGGGCACAACAGACGTGGTACCCATTTCTCCACAGAATGTCCCTCCAGCCACTGTACACCCTTTCCAATCTCCCGGATTTGTTATATCAGGACCACGGCTGCCTCCTGCATCCACCACCTCATACCGTTCATCTCATGGCCTGGCTCCTAACTGGTTCAACCCATCTGAGGATCTTTGCTTGAGTCCAGTCAAACAAGGCCTGATGCATAGTAGGAGACTTAGCACTTGAACCACCTACCAGTATAAGTGGAAGCAGTTTTCATTATGGTGCTTCACAAAGGGGATCATTCCAGAGAATGCTCACATTCTTTACATCCTTGACTACATTCTTTCTCCACAATAATAGGGCCTCACAATCGCCTTGATGAAAGTACATTTTGTGGCCATTTCAGCCTTCCATCACCGTATAGACCTATTTTTGCCCATCTCACTGGAAGGAGGTTTCTAGCAGGTCTAAAGAACCTTAATCCACCTTATAGACGCCCTCCTCCAACTTGCAATCTGGACGTAGTCCTAGACATGCTTACCCAAACCTCCCTTTGAACCCTTGTCCACTACCTCTCTTGGAACGTTGATGCTTGTTTTCTTTCTCGCCATAGCATCAGTGCGCAGAGTTAGCGAGCTGGCGGTGCTAATGTCAGCACTACCTTATATAGTATTTCATAAAGAGTGGGTGATCCTCAGGCCTCATCCAGCCTTCATTCCAAAAGTGTGCTCCATATTCCATATCAACGAGCCTATTGTACTTCCTACTTTCCAACTGAAGCCTTATACCTCTTCATGGGAGGCTCTTCTACACACTCTGGACATCCATCAGACATTAGCTTTTTACATAGAGAAGATCAGGAACTGGCAGAAGACAGATTGGCTACCGATCTCTACTCTCTACCGTGCATAAACCTTAATTACGGAGCCCACCTGAGTGGGTTGGGAGTACTGCTTTACAGTCACCTACAGTGGACCACCCAGAGGGACACTACTTGAAGAAGTTTCTCACCTTGGTGCAGTAACCATGGCTCTTCGAGATGTGTGTCCCCGCCCTTCTCTCTGCTCCGTAATCCGGTTTGTAGATTTCTCGTTTCAGATTTCAAGCGGGTGAGTGGAACTGGTGGGAGCCAGATTACACGAGGCAAAAGGGTGTGAAAGGTGCAAGAAGCGCTTCGTGCATGCGCGATCTGGTTGACAATGGCTAGCAAAAATCTCCGAGCTGCGGCGCTGGGACAGGGCCCAACACCTACAGTGGAGCACCCACGCGGGGACATATCTCGAAGAACCATCGTTACTGAACCAAGGTGAGTAACTTCTTTCATTAAAAATCCTGCTGTAGCTGATGGAAGCAGCTGTGTTTTGGTAAGTGCATTTACTTTACAGATGTTAGCACATATAAAAGGTAATTACTTGAAAGCTCTGGAGGCTGAGATCATCAATTTAAACACAAAAAAGAGCAAGCAGTTATAGTGTGCATTTTCTCAAATTTTTCTACAAATGTGACTTGGCTTCTAAGGAGGACAGAAAACATATTAGATTTTGTGTCCATTCATCATTTGCTTCTAAATACTAACAAGGATATCAGTTGTTGAGATTTTTTTCATATCACCCTAATCTTTGAGATCTTTAGAAATTAACATAAAACCCAACTAGCACTATACTCGTGGACCTAGAATTCACTTCGTCTTCATCCCACTATATATTAAGATTCCCTTTATAGCTTATTAAGGGTTTAATAATTTTTAATGAATGATTAGTCACCTGGTTAACATGTCCATATGTGACATTTAGTCCCGATTTGCATATAACCATCTATAACACTTACTAATCATGTCTTTACCATGCTTATAGTAGATATTAATCATTTATGAATCTTTTATTAAGTGTTTATAAAAGGAACATAATTCCGTAACAACTGTTTTGCTTCAGCTTCACTGAAGAGAGCAGGAGGATCCAAAATGTTTGATGGAATTCTGGGGTTGATTGTTTTGAAGAATCGTGCATTGCAAAGTGAATTATTTAAGTTACAAACCAGTTGATCCACTCAGCCATATCCACATCTTCATCCACATAATTTTCTCCCAATAAGCAGTTTTTCATATGTTGTTTCATTCTTGCAACCAGGCCCTGCATCATCTTCTTGCACTGCTTACACAGAAATATTTTCCTTTTTTACCCAGGGAATGAATGTCTTCAAAATATTCCCAGTTAGAGTTTGTCTTGTGCCATAAGCACAGAACAAAAACGATACTATCCAGCTTGTCTTTCTTTGCACATGTTACTTTTTAGTGTGCTGAGAAATTGAAAGCCTAGAATTTTCAAGAAGCAAGAGCTAGTAGTTAGGCTGGACATATTAATTCACTTTTATGAGACTGTCAGTGTACATGTAGCATGTCTGTGATGAGATTGTTATAACTGTTATTTTTAAACAAGAAATTTAACACTTTATTGATATTTTTAGAAAGATATAAATTAAAAAAAATCCTATTTAATTTTTAAAAAAATCATTGATTCTTATCCAACCTGTTTAAACATATGTTTTTAGGTTTGCAAATTGGTAAATTTTGTTTGTTTTTTATTTCATTCTATCATGCTTTGGAGTGAGTGTTGAAGGATGAGCAGCCAAGCAGTGGTCAGCCAGAGGGAGAAGAACGTCATACAGCCCCCAGAATAGCAACAGCAGTAAATATGGTCATGCTGTTTCTCCACTCAGACCCAGATCACATTCACAGCACCCATTGGATCCATTGGCTACCAGACATTCAGGAGCTTTGATGAGACATTTACACATGTAACTGCATTTAAATAGACCTTATTCCAGCATCAAACAAGCTGACATCAAGCAAAAGGGAGGAGACATGATCATGGGGCAAAGTGTGCAAACACTATACAGACTATGGGAAGAAAAATATTAAATCGTGAAGTGGCTCAGTGCTCCAAAAAACAGACTATGTACTTGTTCCACTCAAATCTACATGTAAACATACTGTTATTTGCAGCTGACTTGTGGCCATTGAAATATGCAGGTTTTGCATAATGGGAAAAGTGGACTTCAAAATGATTCTCTTCTGTGACTGTCTTATGTTTTATATAATACCTATCACAGTGGTATCAAACTGCCTACCATAATGAATGAGCAGACAAGCCCAGGATAAGAGATTTTTTCACCTTTCTCTATTTAAAAATATCATATAATATCAGTAGCACACACAGTATATTAGGAGTGCTCAAGCTTGTACAGCTGGCTGGGAAAACCCTGTTAACTTCTTAGATTTTTAGAAAGGTGAACTTTTTCAAGGATCCAAAACTAGCCTCTTACTTCTGTAGGCAAAACATGGCTCACCATTTTAATTTCATTTCCTCTGAACTACAGGGAATTGCATAAGGTAAATCTGGGCATTATTTGTCTCTGGCTCTATACCTATCATTGCAATTTAAAAAACTGGTTTCAATCTTTTGCTGCTTCTCTGCTTTGTTGGTTTCTTCTGCCCACCCACTATGTCACTTGGGGTGTTAATGGAGGAGGTTTGTTATTTCAGATGCATACCAACGCCTGCTGCACTCATTTCTTCCCTACAGTCTTGCACAGGGCACAGAGTCAACTTCATACTTTCATTTGTCTCAGTTACACACACAGGATTTAAATTCATCCCTTCCTCTACATAGCCTAATATTTTCTGTCAGATGATAACTCAATACATGCTAAATAGTAAATCTGGTTGCTTTTTTACTATAATTTTCAATTTATTTTGGAGGAATCAGTTTCTTTCTTGCCATATGAAAACCTTGCAAGATACACGTGTGTTTTCAGAGCAGCAGGCTAATGACGCTATTGAGTTAAGAAAAAATCATGCCATCATGTTGCAGTCTGTGCCAAAAGAACATAGACAGCTATTCAGTGCCCAGTATCCACTGCTGCCCAAAACCTTATCTTGTCCTATTTATAATTTCACAACTGAGGTCCTGTTTAAGAGTTGGGTGAATGCTGTATTTGCTTTAAACAAACAAATTTGCTCCTTTGGTGACTATGCTTTTATTGTGTTTATTCGCAGAAAACACATTTTAAATTCAGATGCGTATTGATTTCTGCTGGAAGTACTCATGTGCCCTCATTCAATAAAGGATCAGAAACCGACCAATCAGGACTAAGCAATGCAGCTCAGATTTCAAATGTCGACTCCTAAATACCTGCAGAAAACCTTGTATTATTAATGAATAAATAAAAAAACAAATGTACAAAATCTTTTTGAATAAGAGACCACTCTATAAGTTGACTTTTGGAAAATCTTACTAGTCTATCACAGCTAATGATGTGATCCTATGTTTGTAACATTCACTATTTCTAATTAAAAAAGTTAAATCACTAAAAAATTGAGAGAGACGTATCAAAAAGGAAATTGCTATTTTGGTAGTCTAATGAAGAATAACATTTGCAGCTCCATTTGAATATTTAACAAAACAATTTTCTAACATCTGACTGAATAAAATGGAACTTGTATTATAACAACTTATACTGCAAAGATGGAGTCGCCAAGAGGGCTTTGGCTTCCTCAACCACAGGATGCTATTCCAAGAAGGACTGCTAAGCAGGGATGGGGCTCACCTTTTGAGGAAGGGGAAGACTATATTTGGATATAGACTGGCTAACCTAGTGAGGAGGGCTTTAAACTAGGTTCAATGGGGGCAGGTGACCAAAGCCCACAGGTAAGTGAAGAACGTAGAGACCTGTGAGTTGAGTTGGAAAGAGGAGGGAGCAAGGGCTATAATAGCAGAGAAAAAGAAGGGACAAGGCGGAACTGGGAGGCAACATTAAATCAGTATCTTAGATGCCTTTATACAAATGCAAGGAGTATGGGTAATGAATCTTTAAAAATCATCCAATGACCGGTTGATGCAGAGGAAAAAATTATACAATTTTTGGATAAATCCAAAACAAGAAACTGCTTCAACACAACAATCCACAGCCTACTGGCAACAAGATTGAGTGAGTGTACCGCAGATGGTATGTAATCAACCAATGAATTGTGCTCTTTTATCTTTGTCTGCATCCCACTCATATTACTTGCACTGTTGTAGCTTTGACCATGACAAATCCTGATGTCAGTCCCATTGTCAGTGAAGAAACTGAGTAGGTATGAGACAAGTTGCTCACTTGTGTGGATGGTGATGTTTATGAAGGTCATGAAATGCTCAACTTGTGTTATGGGCTACCTAGCAGACTAGATGAGTCACCTGATATACATGTGACGCATCTGGTGTTGAGTCCATGGACACTGAAAAATAGCCCATATTTATGATGTCATCTACAATGGCTGTTAGCCAGCAATGCCACCAATGCAATGAATTCATTACAAGTACCCTTTGTACATATGATGTTTGGCCTCTTCCATGATTTGTGTGTTTACTGATGTGTTGAGCTAAGACAGGGTTGAACTATGCAATTAGCTCTAGAATGCCAATGTAATTGCCATTGTGTTTCGAGCCAACAGTCTCATCTGAGCCATGAAATGGCAGACCATGTTGGCTAATAAATCATGTTTCAGTTATGCATCTGAGAATGTTCTTCCAATTAGCACTAGCTTCCAAAAACTGGTTTTCAATAGAGTATCAATTCTGTTAATAACTTTCTTTTGGGCACTGTTGCTACTAACTGACAATGCATGTTGCTCACTCATTGCATGATTGGTAATATATGCAATATTCTTCCTATCATTGACACCTTCGCAGAACATTCCCTATTTTTTGGTATTCAAAAACAGGCGGCAATAAAAACAGTACTCTTTCTTTTTTGAAGGAGAATAGATGAGCCATTCTCTCTTGCCAATCTGTTTGTAGGGCTTCACATATTCAAACACTGATTTGGTTAGATAATTATTCTGATTGGTGCATTCTTGCTTTGTCAATTAAAAGTCAGCATCTAGATTCTGTCACTTCTGTGGGCCCTTCTCAGGCCAATATGCAATGAGATCTTGAAAAATCATGTCCCACTCACCTGGATCATCAGAGAAGGATATTTTTATATTACCATCACAGGGGAAGTCTTCAGAGGAATGAAGTGAGACTGTAGCTACAGAAGTCACAATTACAAGAAGGTGTTCTTTTTCATCAGGTGCAGTAGGTTTACTTGAGCTGGTATTTGCCTGGACTTCCTCGCCACCAGACTTAGTAGGAGGAAAAAACATTAGGAGAGGAGGAGTGGTTTTCAGCACTACATCTTGTCTTTGCTATCTTTCTCTGGCCTTGTTCAATTTCTGCCATCCTCCTTTCTTTTATATGGTGGTTTCTGTTGTCCAGTGTAGTCCTACTTTGTACAAAGTAAAATGTTGCTTGGATCCACAATCTTAGCACACACAAAGACAAAATCACAATTACCATAAATTGAATTCACAATCCCCTTCTTCTAGGCACTGTCCTCTGCCTGCCCCACTTCCCCATCCCTGTCTCTGCCTTGTTCTATATCATCCCTCTTACTTCTACTGCAAAGAATAAGGCTTAAGCACAATTGTCAGGATGTACCTAGAGGGGTTCTAAAGTTGTAATCTGCCTTTTGGATGGCTATTTAGTCCAGGCAACGATTTGGAAACCCTGGCCCTGTGTAGGGACTCTGGCTACAATCAGGTGCCTTTTGGTTAATGTGGTAGCTAGAGAGGTAGAGGGATCTACTACAGTGTCTGGTTTATAGCCTGCAGCCTCAAAAATAAATACATTTCCTCTGTATTAATTAGTTCTTCCACAGTTAGAATCATAGAATAAAATAATCATAGGACTGGAAGGAAGATACCTCTAGAGGTCATCTAGTCTGGTCCCCTGCACTCAAGGCAAGAGGACTATTCTATTCTAGACTGTGAGATCAGTAGCTCTGACATGACATGAGGTCTAAGCATGAGTCCTCCATGCAGTGCATTTGCTGTGGTCTGCATTTGTTGTTTTAAAGCCTTCGGTAAGAAAAAGCTGGCAACAGGCAGCTAGAAGTAATACAAATCCAATGGTTGTCCAGCACTTTGTCATCCGTGTACAAACAATCTAAAGCTTTTCAGCTTTTAAATGACTAGGACAAAACAGAGCGATTCCCTCCCTTTCGGGTTATCTGTCTCCAGAACATAAAGACTTCATTGAAAATAAGCATCTCAAAAGAACCATCAAGTCTGGCTGGTGTTTGATTACTACTGTAATCAAGTCTGCTGTAGAGATTGAAGGATCAAGCAAATAGTGAATGAGATTCTGATTATCCTATCCAGGAATAGGGTTGCCAGGTGTCCAGTATTAAACCAGACAATTCGGTATTTTTGCCTCCTCTCCGGTAAAAAAAAAATTCAGAAAATACCAGACACCTAAAATGTCTGGTACTTTGTGATTTTTTTCCCCCAGACAAGAAGCGAAAATCCTGAGCTGTCCGCTCAATACAGAGGCAGCCTGACAACTCTAGTGCTTACTGGGGAGCTGTGCGGCCTGGCGCAGGGAGGCAAGATGTTGGGCGGCTGCCGGCAGCCTGTTAGGGCCAAAAAGCCTCAAAAGCATTTCTTAAAGGGGCCATGCTATGGGGTTTTTTGGTTGGCTGTTTTTTTTGCTTAACAACTCATGGGGTCCTTTTTTTTTTAATTCAGTTTTTTTTTCTGAAACCATCTGGCAACCCTATCCAAGCATTGGCCTTTGTTCTCATTCCCTTCTCCCATCTACACCCATTCCATGCTCACCAGCCAACATTTCCACTTGAGAAAGAAGTTGGGGCAGAAAAGTAAGGACTAACTTCAGGTTTTATTTAAGCTTTGGGAATGAAATTCAAATGAAATCAATTGTGAAGTTCTTTTATAATGGATTGAACCTAGCAAGTGGACAGAATCCTGTCTTAGACTAGTCAGCCAGTTTTCTATCCTAGCCTGTGAGGAAGTGAATTTAAAATTCTTGAGGTAGACCCTTGGGAGAGAGAAACCTACAACACTAAATGGTAAGCTTGACCTTCTTCCAGTGCTTTTGTAACCCCTTAAAAACAAAGATGAGGTGGCTTGCGAAACTAGGTTGAGCATAAGGAAAGAACGTGGTTACATCCCAATGCAGAAAAATATATAAAAATGGATTTGATGGTTTTTTTAAATTTAGTACAGTTCAGTAGCAGAGCTCTGGAGAAATTGGAGGTAGGAAAAGCTTGGGGAGTGTGTGTGTGTGGGGGGGGGCAGGGGAATCAGATGGCATGGGTCATAGTCTGTCTGGTCACCCCACCACTTAACTGGAGAGCATACCTAGCACTGGCAGACGGCAGTGTTCGTGTTCTTGCAGTGTGGCTGGGGAGAGACAAACCCAAGGGAATGGAAGCAGCAGGCTGCCGGCCGCGCTCCCCACAGGGGGCTGCTTGCCTTGCCTTTCCTACTGGCAAGAATGCTGCAGGCTCCAACAGGAACCGTGGAGCTGCAGGAAGGAGGGAAAAACCTGGGGGGCTCCCTGCTGCATAGGAGAAGAACGGAGTAGCAGAAAGCAGCGGTGGCAGGTTCCCCATCCCTCCTCCCTATGTGCTCGAATTCTGAGCAGTATACTATGCCTACTGGCATTTTGTGAACCATATTTCCAACTCCACAGTGCAGATCTTTACGGACAACCAAGCTGCAATGTTCTACATAAACAGGCAGGGAGGGGCGAGGTCCTACCCCCTCTGCAGAGAGGCAGTCTGGTTATGGACTTTGTGCAATGCTCACAATATAATGTTAATTGCTTCATATCTCCCCAGCAAAGACAACATAACCACAGACAATATCAGCAAGAACTTCCCTGCGAACCACGGATGGGAACTAGACCCCACCATCTTGCATCAGATCTTTACACAATGAGGCTTCCCGCAGATCAACTTGTATGCCACCAGTACCAACGAAAAGTGTCCACGCTACTGTTTGCGTGCGGGCATTGGAACACAATCCCTAGGGGACGCAGTCACAATTTACTGGGGGACAACCCTCCTATACCCTTTTTCCCCCATACCACTTCTCCATCAAGTAGTCACCAAGGTGCATTTAGACAATGCCAATGTCATGCTGACAGTGCCAGACTGGCCGAGATAAACATGGTATACCTACCTATTGCAAATGTCAGTCGACAGCCCACGACGGCACCCACATCTCCTCACTCAATGTTGTAGTCGCCTTCAGCATCCTCATCTCCACACCCTGAACCTTCAGGCCTAGCTCCTCAGTGGCTCACTTAACTAGAAACAGAATGCACAGATGAGGTCCAACAGATCATCCTTAGCAGTCGGAGAACATCCACTTGCAAAACAAGTGGTGACGATTCTCCACCTGGTCTCACCTCGACCCATCTTCCACTCCAACTGAATTCAAGCATTTGGGATTTTCACTCAATTCCCTGAAGGTTCACGTCTCCTCCATAACCCCTTTGCATGAGCCAATAGACAGTAAGTTGTTATTCACACATGCCATGACCAAAAAGATCCTCAAAGGACTGCAGAACATGTATCCACCAATCAAACCTCCAGCTCCCGTCTGGGACCTCAATTTGGTTCTGAGAGCCTTAACTCGTAAACCTTTTGAGCCTATCACGACCTGCTCTATGCTTCACCTTTCCATGATGATAGCTTTACTAGTGGCAATAACATCCGCCAGGAGACTTAGCAAAATTGTGGTTCTCATGGCAGACCCACCTTTCACTACCTTCCATAAGGACAAGGTAGTCCGTCAACCTCACCCTAGGTTCCTGCCAAAGGTGCCCTCTCCTTTCCACTATAACTTACCAGACTTTTTTCCCAAACCTCACATCAACCAGACAGAGGCCATGCTGCATACTCTTGATTTATGGAGAGCCATTGCGTTCTACCTGGAAAGAACCAAGCAAATTCGGAAAACCAACAGCTTGTTCATATCAACCACCAAACGATCCCTGGGACTCCCCATTTCCTCCCAGAGAATCTCAAAATGGATAGTTGAATGCATAAGAATAGCATATTCAACCTTTGGTAAAGAACCACCTGCACAACTTCATGCACATTTGACCAGGGCTATGACAGCATCACCAGCCCATGTACAGGCATCTCCCTGTCCGATATATGCAAATTGGCCACTTGGTTGTCCACTCATACATTCGCTGCTCACTACGCTCTGGACTCCTGTGTGTCCAGAGGAACTGCGTTTGGACACACAATCCTTACCACAGTCCAAAAGGACACTATATCGTCCGAAGCTCCCACGTCCAGTGAATAGACTGCTTGTAGTAATCTGAGGTGGAGCACCCACAGAGACACTCGAAGAAGAAGAGAGGGTTACTCACCCTCTGTAGTAATTGGCGTTTTTCAAGATGGGTGTCCTTGTGGGTGCTCCACCACCCACCCTTCTTCCCCTTTGCTTCGGTATTATTTCCATACTTTTCTGGGGCAGAGAAGGAACTGAGGAGATCATACCTCATGCAAGAGCATTAGCCACCAAGCACGTGTAGCGCTTTTGCGCATGTGCGAGCTAGGTGTCAAAGCCAAGGCTAGTACAATCATCCAGCCAGGTGCGTTATGGCACCAAAACACCTACGGTGGAGCACCCACAGGGGCACCCATCTGAAAGAATGTCAGTTACTGCAGAGGGTGAGTAACCCTCTCATTCTGCCTTTACTTGGTGTGTAGAGGACTTTACAAAAAATGGGGATGAGTTGGCAGGGGTCTATACTGAAAAGAGTGTGAGAGGCGCAGTTTTAATAACAAAAAGACAAAAACTGTTATGACCTGGAGTGGGCTAGGATATGTATTAAGATTCCTCCTACTAGTTAACTTTGGGGTTGATCACGTGTTAGATGCTACAGTTCAGAGGCACAATTGGGATAAAAAGATTATTTGGGGAGACCCCAAATAATAGGAGTGGAGATCAGATAGTTTGGATAATAACACCTGAATTATAAGACTTGCAGTAGAGCACCTTGAGACTCATACAGCTAATCCGTTTTCACATTGGATTAAAAAAGTGCCATTTCCTGAGACTTGATTCTAATAGTCAAATAATATAGATAGGCTGAACTCTAGTCACACTTTGATGTGTGTCTGTTAAAATGGTATATGCAGTGTAGTTGTAGACATGTCAGTAATATAAGGGTCTATGTTTCTCATCTCTCAATACTTTTCAATACGAACTCCTTCAGTTTACAGTCAAAAAATATTTATTCTGTCAACACTTCAATCTCATCCTGGGATCTGAAAATCATGCTGTGTTCTTTCTGGATCATGTCACCGCTAGTAATATAGACTCTACAACTGGAAGTTAGTCAATAGTTGTTGATGATGAATGATCCAGAATGGAATCCTGCTTTTTTCCCTATAGCTGCAATAGTTACTGCATCATAATCAGTAATTCAGATTCACTGGAACTGAATTAACCATTTAGCTAATGATGCTTGAATAAGAATATCATCTAGCACATTTTTCTGTACCTGTATTTGCTTTGCAGTCCTGACTGGTGTACAAAAGCAACTAAAGCTTATTTATGTCTGTAAAATAATCATATCTGACTCTGAATAAACATAGTGAACCGATCTGCTAAGTAAGAAATTGAAATTTTCACATAGAATCAGTGGGGTTTTTTTGACGGTATGCCCCTTTTTGTGGGAACACTTACCCCTTTTCTTCAGCACAGCTCCCAGCCTGCCCTAGGAGCACTTGTGCAGTGCTGGATGGAAGCCCGCTAGGGAAACATGGCAATTAAAGGGGCCGCGACTGCCTTTTGGCCCTCCTTTTTTTCCCCCCCTGGTATTTTTGGTTTTGGGGTTTTTTGTTTTGTTTTTGTTTTTTGCTCGACAAAGTCATTGGCAACCCTAGTACTGCATAGAATGATCACTTTTCTGACTACACATATTCTGGCTAAATCACAAAGTTAGTGGCAGAATGGGGGAGATGTATCTTGATTTACAGACTCTCATCTAGCTTTTACAGAATATTACTCCCTTGTTAATTTGGTTTTGACTTTACGTACATTGCTTATACTGTGTGTGTATATAATATGAATACTGTTTTCACTGCATCTTTTATGTAAAAAGTAATGATAAAGAATTTTGAATAGGTATTCATTTTTATATCTCACAATTTAATTGTGAGTCCAGTAGGGAACCCTCATGATATAAAAATTTAGGCAGTGAAACCAATCTGTTTTGATTTCAGAATAAAAAAAGATATTTCTGTGCAATGTAGGAAGATCAAAACACATACCACACCAAATGAGAGCCTATATATATAGAAAAGGCAAAAATGTTGGACAAATAAGAAAAATTATTAGTTAAGAGGCAAGGTTTAATGATAAACTGGCTGCCTATCTCATATCTAATATCTGGCTAGGTGGCAACTCTGTTTGCAGTTGTGTGTTTTATGATCTGGATATGTGCGCAGCTCCTCCTTTTGTATACATTTGATTTATATCTCAGTACATAAAGTATCTACAAAGAATTCTGAAGAATAATTTGCTGATCAACAATGTGGGCTTTCTAGAATAAACTTGGTTTAAAAGGACTGTAGGAGGATGCCTGTTAGAGAAAAGGACTTTCCAAAGTCTTTCTTCTTTTGGATCTTTTAGGGCATGTGCCTGAGCAGTTGAAGATTTTTTTAAAGAAAGGAGAGGGAAAAAGGCACATATGGATGATACTGTAAAAATCAGAAGAAAACTGATAATGCCACTTTCTTTTTGTACCTTTCTGAAGAAATAATTCCCACATTTTGTCACATTTTTAGATAAAGGGGGACCTCTTGTGGTTGTCCTGAGAAATATCTCTCTACAAGGCTCATGGAAAATAATTTCAGTATAACTACAACTCACCTAAAGAGAGCATGTTCTAGGGAACCTAAGGTCTGGGGGCTGGTTACAGTCCCTGGGTTGCCTGCATCTGACCCCTGAGGCTAAGGGCCTCCCCCAACATTGCAGAGTCCGTGGTGGCATTGCAACCCCCTGTCACCTCCCTGATTGATTTTATTGTGAGTCAGTGGCCCCTGACCCAAAAAAGGTTCCCCACCCTTGTTCTAGGGTGACCATATTTCCCGATGCCAAATACAGGACACCTGTAAAATTGCTTGGACTTAAGTGAGTTCAACGATAATCAAAAATCAGAACTATTCAGTACAAATGTTCAAAATAACATGAAGTTAACTTAGCACCCTTTAAAAAGTCATACTACATTATAATAACTAAAATAGGTAAACAATTAAAATACATACTTATAATGAAGTGGTTACAGCTCTTTAGAAGTGCCTGCCTTGTCCTTATCTTGCTGTCCTCCAGTGTAGGGTAAGGTGCAGGAGCTAGATGTGTGTGGATGAGCTGCGGGAGTCAGGGGTGTGTGTGTGTGTGTGTGTGTGTAAGTGTAAGAGGCTGGGATGAGGAGGCAGGAGTTTGGGGGCATGTGGGAAAGGTGCAAGACTGGAATCAAGAGGCAAACCAAGGGCTGGTCATGCTCGGCGGTGGGAGGAGGGAGAGCAGGGACTGGAACAGATGGGGTGAGGCAGAGCCTTGGGAGAGAGTGCAGTGGGGGCAGGAAGAGGCAGAGAGAGGGTAGGGCTTTGCCAGGAAAGGATGGAATGAAGCCAGGGCCTCAGAACAGAGCAGGGGTGGAATACTCCTTGAGAAAGCTGAAGCCTGTGGCTAGTGTCTTAACTCTTAAAAAAAAATTGAAAAGTTTGGATATACTTGTTGAAGCACTGAGATTATTATGCAAGCAAGAATTGGTGGGGATTGCTTTCCTCATTTTGTCTCCTGTCCTTTATTGTTCTTGGGTGTTGGTGTGTGTCTATAGGACAGAGATGGGGAAACTTTTTGGGTTGGAGGGCAGATGACTCACAGAAAAATTAGTTGGGGGCTACACACAAGTAAGAAGCAAAAAAACACAAACAAAAATCAAACAGAACAAAAACTAACAAACAACAAGCCAAAAGACCCTCACTGAAGTGGCCTCTGACTGAGAAGGAGAAAGACACTCCCCACATTCCCCTTACACACCAGAGCCTGGAGGGGCCCAT